CTACATTTTCTTCATCTGTTTCTGCTGCTAAGGCCACTTTCTACCACTCTAAATTCCAAGCATCTGCCTCTAACCCTAGGAAGCTCTTTGCCACATTTTCCTCCCTGCTGAATCCCCCCCCCCCCCCCCCCCCCCCTCTCTCTGTGGATGACTTCGTCAACCACTTTGAAAAGAAGGTTGACGACATTCGATCCTCGTTTGTTAAGTCTAATGACACTGCTGGTCCTACTCACACTGCCCTACCCTATGCTTTGACTTCTTTCTCCCCTCTCTCTCCAGATAAAATCCTGCGACTTGTGACTGCAGGCCGCCCAACAACCTGCCCGCTTGACCCCATCCCCTCCTCTCTTCTCCAGACCATCTCCGGTGACCTTCTCCCCTACCTCACCTCGCTGATCAACTCATCCTTGACCGCTGGCCATGTCCCTTCCGTCTTCAAGAGAGCGAGAGTTGCTCCCCTTCTCAAAAAACCAACACTCGATCCCACTGATGTCAACAACTACAGACCAGTATCCCTTCTTTCTTTTCTTTCCAAAACTATTGAGCGTGCCGTCTTTAGCCAACTCTCTTGCTATCTCTCTCAGAATGACCTTCTTGATCCAAACCAGTCAGGTTTCAGGACTGGCCATTCAACTGAGACTGCTCTTCTCTGTGTCACGGAGGCTCTCCGCACTGCTAAAGCTAACTCTCTCTCCTCTGCTCTTGTCCTTCTAGACCTGTCTGCTGCCTTTGATACTGTGAACCATCAGATCCTCCTCTCCACCCTCTCCGAGCTGGGCATCTCCGGCGCGGCTCACTCCTGGATTGCGTCCTACCTGACCGGTCGCTCCTACCAAGTGGCGTGGCGAGAAGCTGTCTCCGCACCACGTGCTCTCACCACTGGTGTCCCCCAGGGCTCAGTTCTAGGCCCTCTCCTTTTCTCCCTATACACCAAGTCACTTGGCTCTGTCATATCCTCACATGGCCTCTCCTATCATTGCTACGCTGACGATACACAACTAATCTTCTCCTTTCCCCCTTCTGATAACCAGGTGGCGAATCGCATCTCTGCATGTCTGCATGTCTGGCAGACATATCAGTATGGATGACGGATCACCACCTCAAGCTGAACCCTGGTAAGACGGAGCTGCTCTTCCTCCCGGGGAAGGACTGCCCGTTCCATGATCTCGCCATCACGGTTGACAACTCCGCTGTGTCCTCCTCCCAGAGTGCGAAGAGCCTAGGCGTGACCCTGGACAACACCCTGTCGTTCTCCGCCAACATCAAGGCGGTGACCCGCTCCTGCAGGTTCATGCTCTACAACATCCGGAGAGTACGACCCTGCCTTACACAGGAAGCGGCACAGGTCCTAATCCAGGCACTTGTCATCTCCCTTCTGGACTACTGCAACTCGCTGTTGGCTGGCCTCCCTGCCTGTGCCATTAAACCCCTACAACTCATCCAGAATGCCGCAGCCCGTCTGGTGTTCAACCTTCCCAAGTTCTCTCACGTCACCCCCCTCCTCCGCACACTCCACTGGCTTCCAGTTGAAGCTCGCATCCGCTACAAGACCATGGTGCTTGCCTATGGAGCAGTGAGGGGAACGGCACCTCTGTACCTTCGGGCTCTGATCAGTCCCTACACCCAAACGAGGGCATTGCGTTCATCCACCTCTGGCCTGCTGGCTCCCCTTCCTCTGCGGAAGCATAGTTCCCGCTCAGCCCAGTCAAAACTGTTCGCTGCTCTGGCACCCCAATGGTGGAACAAGCTCCCTCACGACGCCAGGACAGCGGAGTCACTCACCACCTTCCGGAGACATTTGAAACCCCACCTCTTTAAGGAATACCTGGGATAGGATAAAGTAATCCTTCTACCCCCCCCCCAAAAAAATTGTAAAGTGGTTATCCCACTGGCTATAGGGTGAACGCACCAATTTGTGAGTCGCTCTGGATAAGAGCGTCTGCTAAATGACGTAAATGTGCCCTTGAGCAAGGCACTTAACCCTAATTGCTCCTGTAAGTCGCTCTGGATAAGAGCGTCTGCTAAATGACTAAAATGTAAATGTAAATGTAAATGTAAATGTATAGAATAATAGTGAAGACATCAAAACTATGAAATAACAAATATGGAATCATGTTGTAACCAAAGATGTGTTAAACAAATCAAATTGTATTTTATATTCTTCTAATAGCCACCCTTTGCCTTAATGACAGCTTTGCACACTCTTGGCATTCTCTCAACCAGCTTCAAGAGGTAGTCACCTGGAATGCATTTTAATTAACAGGTGTGCCTTCTTAAAAGTTAATTTGTGGAATTTCTTTCCTTCTTAATGCGTTTGAGCCAATCAGTTGTGTTGTGACAAGGTAGGGGGGGTATACAGAAGATAGCACTATTTGGTAAAAGACCAAGTCCATATTATGGCAAGAACAGCTCAAATAAGCAAAGAGAAATGACAGTCCATCATTACTTTAAGACAAGGTCAGTTAATACGGAAAATGTCAAGAACTTTGAAAGTTTCTTCAAGTGCAGTTGCAAAAACCATCAAGCGCTATGATGAAACCGGCTCTCATGAGGACCGCCACAGGAATGGAAGACCCAGCGTTACCTCTGCTGCATAGGATAAGTTCATTAGAGTTACCAGCCTTAGAAATTGCAGGCCAAATAAATGCTTCACAGAGTTCAAGTAACAGACACACCTCAACATCAACTGTTCAGAGGACTGGGATTTTTACATACACGTTCGAAAAGTATTCAGACTTTTTCCCCATTTCGTTACAAATTGACTAAATAAATAAAAATCCTCATCAATTCACACACAATACCCCATAATGACAAAGTGAAAACAGGTTTTTAGAATTGTTTGCAATTTTATAAACAATAAAAAACAGAAATACTTTATTTACATAAGTATTTAGACCCTTTGCTATGAGACTCGAAATTGAGTTCAGGTGCATCCTGTTTCCATTGATCATCCTTGAGATGTTTCTACAACTTGATTGGAGCGCCTTTGGTAAATTCAATTGATTGGACATGATTTGGAAAGGCACACACCTGTCAGGTCCCACAGTGCATGTCAGAGAAAAAACCAAGCCATGAGGTCGAAGGAATTGTCCGTAGAGCTTCCGAGACATAGATCTGTCGAGGCACAGACCTGGGGAAGGGTACCAAAACATTTCTGCAGCATCGAAGGTCCCCAAGAACACAGTGGCATCATTCTTAAATGGAAGACGTTTGGAACCACCCAGACATCTTCCTAGAGCTGGCCGCCCGGCCAAAGTGAACAATCGAGGGAGATGGGCCTTGGTCAGGGAGGTGACCAAGAACCGGATGGTCACTCTGACAGAACTCCAGAGTTCCTCTGTGGAGATGGGAGAACCTTCCAGAAGGACAACCATCTCTGTAGCACTCCACCAATCAGGCCTTTATTGTAGAGCAGCTAGATGGAAGCCACTCCTCAGTAAAAGGCACATGACAGCCCGCTTGGAGTTTGCCAAAAGGCACCAAAAGGACTCTCAGCCCATGAGAAACAAGATAATCTGGTGTGATGAAACAAAGATTGAACTCTTTGGCCTGAATGCCAAGCGTCACGTCTGGAAGACGGCACCATCCCTATGGTGAAGCATGGTGGTTGCATTATCATGCTGTGGGGAAGTTTCTCAGCGGCAGAGACTTTGAGACTAGTCAGGATCGAGGGAAAGATGAACGGAGCAAAGTACAGAGATCCTTGATGAAAACCTGAGCGCTCAGGACCTCAGACTGGGGCGAAGGTTCACCTTGCAACAGGACAACGACCCTAAGCACACAGCCAAGACAACGCAGGAGTGGCTTCGGGACAAGTCTCTGAATGTCCTTGAGTGGCCCAGCCAGAGCCCGGACCAATCGAACATCTCTGGAGAGACTTGAAAATAGCTGTGCAGCGACGCTCCCCATCTAACTTGACAGAGCTTGAGAGGATCTGCAGAGAAGAATGTGAGAAACACCCCAAATACAGGTGTGCCAAGCTTGTAGCGTCATACCCAAGAAGATTCGAGTCTGTAATCGCTGCCAAAGGTGAATCAAGAACGTACTGAGTAAAGGGTCTAAATACTTATGTAAATGTATTTTAATTATTATTATTATTTTTATACATTTCTATAAACCTGTTTTTGCTTTGTAATTATGGGGTATTGTGTGTAGATTGAAAAAAACACAAACAATTGGATCAATTTTTAGAATAAGGCTGTAACGTAATAAAATGTGGAAAAAGTCAAGTGGTCTGAATACTTTCCGAATGCCCTGTATATAGGCCTATCACGGTCGCAAGGCATATGAACTAACAGGTTATAGAGCAAACAACGCAATTATCACAACACATAGGTTGTAATACTGCTTTTTTTTGGCTTCCCCTGTGATTTTACCCATGCACATTTTGGGAACAGGGATAGGGAATTCTAAATGAATTTTTTTAAATCAAGAGCAAATTGTAGTTAAAAATCTTTAATATTTATACATATATTTATTTATGTACACATTGACTTACATATTCCTGTAATGGTGAGTAACATGATTAAATTCATTAAAAGTGATTGGGTGCCACAAGTAACCATTTCTCCAAATAAAAAAAAAACTTCTCAGCTGTTTTTACACACATGCGGGTCACATTACATGGAGAGGGCTCGCTTTGAGCATTAGAACCTTAATATCTATTCCCTACTCTCCTTCCCTCTGTTTTTGTGCTGTAGTAGACACCTGCCTGTTGTCATAACTACTAGTGCTGGAGTCTGGGGTCTCATGCCTCATGTTTTATAGCAGGTAATTTGTTCCTTTTCAAATGGACTCTTACCTATCTAACGTTAGTGTGTTGGGCTGTTGTTACACTTTGACTTATCCTAGTAACAAGTAAAAAAAAGATTAAAGGGTAAAAGACCTGGGTTGTATTCAAGGTTATCCAACGGTTTTGTCAACCGTTAGGCAAAATGCTGTCGCGACGCCTTGGGATAGCACTATGGTGTTTTGAGCTCAATAAGAACATGGTTATGTTCAGTAATAGTGGCTTTAATTATGCACCAAATAAAAGTCCCTTTCCGGATGCCATACCTACAGGCAGAGGCGTCATGCCAATTGAAACCATTACACAATAGATTGTTTCTTTTACACAGAATTAAATTATACTGAATTTGGCCAATAGTGCCCCCTCAAATAGAATTAGGTGCATGACTCCTCTGCCAGCCTGATTATTCGCCAACATCTAATCCTCATCGTTCGAGGCAAAAAATCTTTACGTTACCTCAGTTCCCTCCTAGACTTGTATACGACCCTGTTAGTTATCCTATAAACCCACTGGTAGAAACATAGTGGCACATCCACAATGTTGCCCAACCACGTCGAGTCCTTACTATACCTTGTATTTTAACGTGATTACAAATGCCGATATGCACAATAAAGAGCTGTCAAACATAACAAAAAAATAAATGTATAGAGAACGTATTTAGTCCAAGGGCATCATTCCATGGCAGTCCCAAATCCCATAGTCCTTTATAGTGTCGTAAACTAAGCTTTTAATAAATTCAGAGTTTCAGAAATGTACTGTCACATCACAGGGTGTGACGGAGCCGGTGCATTGAATCGGTGCTGCATGCTTCCCTCTGGTGGAGTTGACGGGGTGGGAGGCGCACTACAGGAAGGGGTTGGTGGATGAGCCTCCAGTGGGGTAGGGTCCAGCCAGGGCTCCCGCCTGGTTGAAAACAAATGGTTATTCAATATCGTAAAATAACATGACTATCAGCATGACTTCCAAACTCATCCATGAAGTTAGCAGAGAGCGAGGCTGCATGGGTGACCAACCACATAGCTGTTTTTACATTGGACCCATGCAGAAGATGCATGTGTAAGTCAATTGTTCAGACTTGTATTTGTTGGTCACAAAGTCAGGCACAAAGTGTTTCACACTTGTATTACAAGTATTACTATTAAAAGAGCACAATGCATCCTTCGGTCCCGCAACAAGATCTGGAAACACACACATAAGCTACTAGACGCTCACCATGAATGGGTTATTGGCCATCCCCGGCCCAGCCATGGGCTGCCCAAAGGGGGTCATGGAGGGCTTGGTCTGCCCGTAGACTGGGTATCCACCAGGGCCTGTCCATGCAGAGAAAAAACAGATTAGGCTGAATGGTCTATTTAACCATTTAACTTTAGTTGTGGAGTGGATTGTAACAACGGTAAATGTAATAACTTTTCTATTTGTAATAAAACACACATATATACAGTGGGGGGGGGAAGTATTTAGTCAGCCACCAATTGTGCATGTTCTCCCACTTAAAAAGATGAGAGGCCTGTCATTTTCATCATAGGTACACGTCAACTATGACAGACAAAATGAGAAAAGAAAATCCAGAAAATCACATTGTAGGATTTTTTATGAATTTATTTGCAAATTATGGTGGAAAATAAGTATTTGGTCAATAACAAAAGTTTCTCAATACTTTGTTATATACCCTTTGTTGGCAATGACACAGGTCAAACGTTTTCTGTAAGTCTTCAAGGTTTTCACACACTGTTGCTGGTATTTTGGCCCATTCCTCCATGCAGAACTGCTCTAGAGCAGTGATGTTTTGGGGCTGTCGCTGGGCAACACGGACTTTCAACTCCCTCCAAAGATTTTCTATGGGGTTGAGATCTGGAGACTGGCTAGGCCCCTCCAGGACCTTGAAATGCTTCTTACGAAGCCACTCCTTCGTTGCCCAGGCGGTGTGTTTGGGATCATTGTCATGCTGAAAGACCCAGCCATGTTTCATCTTCAATGCCCTTGCTGATGGAAGGAGGTTTTCACTCAAAATCTCACGATACATGGCCCCATTCATTCTTTCCTTTACACGGATCAGTCGTCCTGGTCCCTTTGCAGAAAAACAGCCCCAAAGCATGATGTTTCCACCCCATGCTTCACAGTAGGTATGGTGTTCTTTGGATGCAACTCCGCATTCTTTGTCCTCCAAACACGACGAGTTGAGTTTTTACCAAAAAGTTATATTTTGGTTTCATCTGACCATATGACATTCTCCCAATCCTCTTCTGGATCATCCAAATGCACTCTAGCAAACTTCAGACGGGCCTGGACATGTACTGGCTTAAGCAGGGGGACACGTCTGGCACTGCAGGATTTGAGTCCCTGGCGGCGTAGTGTGTTACTGGTGTTGATGGTAGGCTTTGTTACTTTGGTCCCAGCTCTCTGCAGGTCATTCACTAGGTCCCCCCGTGTGGTTCTGGGATTTTTGCTCACCGTTCTTGTGATCATTTTGACCCCACGGGGTGAGATCTTGCGTGGAGCCCCAGATCGAGGGAGATTATCAGTGGTCTTGTATGTTTTCCATTTCCTAATAATTGCTCCCAGAGTTGATTTCTTCAAACCAAGCTGCTTACCTATTGCAGATTCAGTCTTCCCAGCCTGGTGCAGGTCTACAATTATGTTTCTGGTGTCCTTTGACAGCTCTTTGGTCTTGGCCATAGTGGAGTTTGGAGTGTGACTGTTTGAGGTTGTGGACAGGTGTCTTTTATACTGATAACAAGTTCAAACAGGTGCCATTAATACAGGTAACGAGTGGAGGACAGAGGAGCCTCTTAAAGAAGTTGTTACAGGTCTGTGAGAGCCAGAAATCTTGCTTGTTTGTAGGTGACCAAATACTTATTTTGCACCATAATTTGCAAATAAATTCATTAAAAATCCTACAATGTGATTTTCTGGAGAAAAAAAATCTCAATGTCTGTCATAGTTGACGTGTACCTATGATGAGAATTACAGGCCTCTCTCATCTTTTTAAGTGGGAGAACTTGGCTGACTAAATACATTTTTTCCCCACTGTATATATTTTTTATAAACCTGGTAAATGTAATAACTTGCCAGTAAACTTAATTAAATTGTTGAATGGTAAACTTTACTTTTTCAGCTAAATTGTAATAAGTTATTACATTAACCGGTGGTTATGACATTAACTGGTGAGTAACAACTTTATGAATAATCTAATAACTTCAACCAATCATGTGATAACATACCTAAATCAATGTTTTTATGTACTACTACTCTCAATTTGATGCACATACCACCTACTCCCAATCACAATACAAACAAACTCATGCACATCATACAGGAATACATAGACACTCACAAGCACACATTGAAATGTACACACATGCATAGTCTCACCACACACACACACACACACAAACGGGTAACACTTCATTTGATCATTATTAAATCAAGCTAATTATGTTATCCGGTGGTTATTATGTTATCAGGTCAGTAGCAACTTTTTTTAATGAATAACAATAACTTCAACTGATCATGTAATAACAATGTTTGTGTTATTTCCATTATTGTAATGGACATGGAATAGTCCCAAAAGTGCAAAACCCATCAATCCGGCACTCGAGGCAGGCTCAAGCAAACACTCAAAAGTATTTGAACGATTTCAAAGCTGTTTGGCAGATCTGGATGGCACCAGGGCAATTGGTGTCAAATTAACACCTTGGTTTCAGTTCAGCAGAGGCTATCAAAGTCGTGTGCTGCGCAGAACTAACCCAGTCAGTAACACCAGCAACCATCCAGCTCAATTAAACTATACTGAACAAAAATATAAAAGTGAAACATGTTGGTCCCATGTTTCGAGCGCTGAAATAAAAGATCCCAGAAATGTTCCATACGCACAAAAAGCTTATTTCTCAAAATAAGTATGCCCAAATTTGTTTACATCCCTGTTAGTGAGCATTTCTCCTTTGCCAAGATAGTCCATCCACCTGACAGGTGCGGCATATCAAGAAGCTGATTAAACAGCATGATCATTACACAGGTGCACCTTGTGCTGGGGACAATAAAAGGCCACTCTAAAATGTGCAGTTGTGTGTCACACAACGCCACAGATGCCAATTGCACGCTCCCTCAACTTGACATGCTGACTGCAGGAATGTCCACCAGAGCTGATGCCAGAGAATTTAATGTTATTTTCTCTACCATAAGGCGCCTTCAATGTCGTTTTAGAGAATTTGGCAGTACGTCCAACCTGCCTCACACCCACAGACCATGCCAGCCCAGGACCTCCACATCCGGCTTCTTCACCTGCGGGATTGTCTAAGAACAGCTACCTGGACAGCTGATGAAACTGTGGGTTTGCACAACCGAATAATTTCTGCACAAAACGTCTCAGGGAAGATAATCTGCGTGCTAGTCGTCCTCACCAGGGTCTTGACATGACTGCAGTTCAGAGTCGTAACCAACTTCAGTGGGCAAATGCTCACCTTTGATGGCCACTGGCACGCTGGAGAAGTGTGCTCTTCACAGATGAATCCCAGTTTCAACTGTACTGGGCAGATGGCAGACAGTGTGTATGGCGTCGTGTGGGTGAGCGGTTTGCTGATGTCAACGTTGTGAACAGCGTGCCCCATGGTGGCGGTGGGGTTATGGTATGGGCAAGCATAAGCTACGGACAACGAACACAATTGCATTTTATCGATGGCAATTTGAATGCAGAGAGATACCGTTAGAAGATCCTGAGGCCCATTGTCGTGCCATTCATCCGCCGCCATAACCTCATGTTTCAGCATGATAATGCACGGCCCCATGTCGCAAGGGTCTGTACACAATTCCTGGAAGCTGAAAATGTCCCAGTTCTTCCATGACCTGCATTCTCACCAGACATGTCACCCATTGAGCATGTTTGGGATGCTCTGGATCGACAGCGTGTTCCAGTTCCCGCCAATATAACACAATGTCGCACAGCCATTAAAGAGTAGGACAACATTCCACAAGCAACAATCAACAGCCTGATAAACTCTATGCGAAGGAGATGTGTCACGCTGCAAGAGACAAATGGTGGTCACACCAGATACTGACTGGTTTTCTGATCCACGCCTCTACCTTTTTTTTAAGGTCTCTGTGACCAACAGATGCATATCTGTATTCCCAGTCATGTGAAATCCATAGATTAGGGCCTAATGTATTTCAATTGATTGATTTCCTTATATGAACTGTAACTCAGTCAAATCTATGAAATTGTTGCATGTTGCGTTTATATTTTTGTTCAGTGTAGATATTTATATTTTGAAGATTACATATGATTGATGTTTTAAGTGGTATGAAGGTTATGATGGGGTTATGAATGATTTCAACACGCCAAACACAGAACAGGGTCAGCCTTGCCCTTGTAGCAGGGGGCAAAGGGCCTTACTCATGGCCACCAAGGCAGTAGGGGATAGCACCTGAAAAGTGATGTAGGTGTAATTAAACTTGCCTACGTTTAAGCTTAGCAGGGTAACACAGTCTTGTGGCCTGCAGGAGACCTAGGTTAGACACCATTCTGTCCCATTGGTGCTGTGACATGGATAGATATCTGTGATTAGGTGAAATGGTTGGTGGACTGTAACGAAGGTAGTTCTGTAAACCATGCTTGAGGCTATACATTGTTTGGAGTATGGCGTAAAACAATCTTATGTTATGATGGGGTAAGCATATGAAGCATAAATAAATAAGTTCTATTGTTCAACAACATTCAGAATCATTCAAAAATGACATTTACAGTGCATTCAGAAAGTATTCAGACCCCTTGACTTTTTCCACATTTTGTTATGTTACAGCCTTATTCTAAAATGGATTAAATTCTTTTTTTTTCCCTTCATCAATCTACACACAATACCCCATAATGACAAAGCGAAAACAGGTTTAGACATTTTTCCAAATGTATTAAAAACAAAAAACAGAAATACCTTATTTACATAAGTATTCAGACCCTTTGCTTTGAGACTCGAAATTGAGCTCAGGTGCATCCTGTTTCCATTCATCATCTATTGATCATTCTTGAGATGTTTCTACAACTTGATTGGAGACCACCTGTGGTAAATTCAATGGATTGGACATGATTTGGAAAGGCACACACCTGTCGATATAAGGTCCCACAGTTGACAGTGCATGTCAGAGCAAAAACCAAGCCATGAGGTCGAAGGAATTGTCCGTAGAGCTCCGAGACAGGATTGTGTCGAGGCATTGACCTGGGGAAGGGTACCAAACTATTTCTGCAGCATTGAATGTCCCCAAGAACATAGTGGCCTCCATCATTCTTAAATGGAAAAAGTTTGGAACCACCAAGACATCTTCCTAGAGCTGGGGGGGAACGGCCTTGGTCAGGGAGGTGACCAAGAACCCGATGGTCACTCTGATAGAGCTCCAGAGTTCCTCTGTGGAGATGGGAGAACCTTCCAGAAGGACAACCATCTCTGCTGCACTCCACCAATCAGGCCTTTATGGTAGAGTGGCCAGGCGGAAGCCACTCCTCAGTAAAAGGCACATGACAGCCCGCTTGGAGTTTGCGAAAAGGCACCTAAAGGACTCAGACCATGAGCAACAAGATTCTCTGGTCTGATGAAACCAATATTGAACTCTTTGGCCTGAATGCCAAGCGTCACGTCTGGAGGAAACCTGCCACCATTCCTACGGTGAAGCATGGTGGTGGCAGCATCATGCTGTGGGATGTTTTTCAGAGGCAGGGACTGGGAGACTAGTCAGGATTGAGGGAAAGATGAACAGAGCAAAGTACAGAGATTCTTGATGAAAACCTGCTCCAGAGCGCTCAGGACCTCAGACTGGGTCGAAGGTTCACCTTCCAACAGGAGAACGACCCTTAGCACACAGCCAAGACAACGCAGGAGTGGCTTCGGAATAAGTCTCTGAATGTCCTTGAGTGGCCCAACCAGAGCCCGGACTTGAACCCAATCGAACATCTCGAGAGACCTGAAAATAGCTGTGCAGCGATGCTCGCCTTCCAACCTGACAGAGCTTGAGAGGATCTGCAGAGAGGAATGGGAGAAACTCCCCAAATACAGGTGTGCCAAGCTTGTAGCGTCATACCCAAGAAGACTCGAGGCTGTAATCACTGCCAAAGGTGCTTAAACAAAGTACTGAGTAAAGGGTCTGAATACTTATGTAAATGTGAGATTTCTATTTTTAAACATTTCTAAAAACCTGTTTTTGCTTTGTCATTATGGGTTAGTGTGTGTAGATTGATGAGGGGAAAAAACTATCAATTTTAGAATAAGGCTGTAACAAAATGTGGAAAAAGTTAAGGGGTCTGAATACTTTCCGAACGCACTGTACATATACCCGGAATTTGACTTGGTGAAATGGTGAATATAGACAAACATAATAAAACAGAAATAATATATTGACAAAGAATTTAGGAACCCGCACACTATAAACAGCAAAAAACTGAATACATGCACATGCATTCATTGAGATGAAGATTGAACAGCAGTAACCCAGCAAACAGGGGACGCCCTGAGGACATTCAGCGATGTTCCCATTAGGTCCCTTACGTGTTTTGGCTCACTGTTATCCCTCTGACATTCTGAGAACGTTCTAAGAACGTTGCTTGATGGTCCCATGGGAACATTTTCCGGGGGACCTTCGCCTAGTTTCCTATATGTTCCCAGGACGTCACTGAGGATCATGTCAGGACCTTCTTGGGACGTTCATTTTACTATTTCTTAGGACGTCCCATGATGGTCCCAATGGAACGTTCTCTGGGGGACCTTTTTCTAGTTCCCATTTCCCGGCGTCCCCGAGGACGTTTTTAGGACGTTCTTGCGACGTGTCATGATCCCCTGAAGCTCCCCTGGACATTCTTGGAGGTATTTGTCACGTGATCGTCCCAGGTGTCCCAAACCATTATAAGTAATGAAATGGTATGGCGGTTTTAAGGTTAGTGGTACGCTGTTCAGCTACAATAGTGTAAAAATATTTAAATCAATGACAATATGATAACATTTGACATGATCACTTAGTACTGACTTTTCAATATGACCCCACCTGGGATTTGAACTCACGACCTCTATATTTGGGGTACACTACACATTAATTTCCTGTAATACACCTCTGCACTTAACAAAAGAGTGCCATCTGCACTGCTATTTTAATTATCAGTTGATCCAACTATTCTCTCATTGATTTCACTTACTTATTTCAGCAATTTCAGTTTGGGTTTTCAGTATAGTTGTCTAATGTTGGTGGGGCATATTCTGTTTTACTGTTACTCCTGAATCACTATGATAAATATAATAGTTGTTCTTGAGTGTATTTTTAACTGAGCTGAGATTTACTTTGAAGTGCAAAGTGTAGGAATAGGCCTATAGGTGAAATCAGTCGATGATACAGACATGGTGGCATAGAAGGAAGATTGGAATGCTAAGAGGTTGCGAGTTCAAATCCCAGGGGAGGACATGTTAAATAATAATTACTGTATGAATAAACATACACAATGTAATATATGTCAAATTGTGTCAAATACATCATTTGAAAACACTATGTTAAAAGCACTGTTTGTGTGCGTGTGTGTCCCTAGCATTACCAAAAGACAAAGCTGTGAATGGATCAGTGGTTCACCAATCAGGGCCTTGATGGGCTTGGCAACAGTAACAAGGGGTGATGTGTAATGAAACTGGGGGGAGGGACGTTTATTTGAGACAATCAGGTGACGTCCCCCGGACAAACCGGGAACTAGACAAAAACCTCCAGGGGACCATGACACAATGTCCAAAGAACGTCCTAAAAACATCCTCAGGGACGTCCCCGAGACCAACCGGGAACTAGACAAAAACCTCCAGGGGACCATGACACAATGTCCAAAGAACGTCCTAAAAACATCCTCAGGGACGTCCCCGAGACCAACCGGGAACTAGACAAAAACCTCCAGGGGACCATGACACAATGTCCAAAGAACGTCCTAAAAACATCCTCAGGGACGTCCCCTAGACCAACCGGGAACTAGACAAAACCGCCAGGGGACTATGACACAATGTCCTGGCGACCATTTTGTGACATCCCGGGGACGTCTTAACGACTCTTGTTTGCACGGAACTATTGTAGATTACATGTTTAATACTAGGGCCTACAGATTCATTCAGGACTTTTTTTTTTATCAGTGTGTGTGTGTGTGACTGTGCATACATTGGTTGAAGTTATTACATTATTCTTTAAATAAGTTGTTACTCACCAGTTAATGTAATAACTATTACATTTAGCAGAAAAAGTTATTACGTGTAACGTTCAACATTTTATTACGATTACCAGCAAGTTATTACATTTACTGGGTTTATTACATAAAAAAATCTAAAAGTTATTACAAATAGAAAAGTTTTCACATTTACCGTTACAGGGATACTAGCCAGAAATACAACCTTTGTTTATAGCGCAGGCTCACAAGAAAATTCTAAACATTTGGTGAGTCACAACACAATATTTTGCTTTGAAGTAAAGTCCAAACGATATTGTGATATGGGTGAGACTACTAAGGAGGAGAGGGCACACTACTTACCATTGGGTTGCTGGGGGTGGTAGGCCCCCGACTGGGGGTAAGGGCAGGGGGCCTGGCCTGGGAAGGGCTGCTGGAAGGTCCCACTGAAACTGGTCGGGAGGCAGTAAGAGGAGGGGTTTCCAAAGCCAGCAGGCATACTCACAGAACCTGTGCCAAACGAGGCTAGGACACACAGAGAGGGGAGGGCAGAGTGAGGACCACAAACACAGTGGCACACAAACGTACCTTTCAATGTACAGTATCTACTACAATGCCATTTCAGACAAATAGACACTCATTAACCAGCAGAGGCCCAAACATGCCCTTTAAGCATGCTTGTGTTCATACTTCTGACTTCAACCATACACACACGGTATGTATGTATGCATGCACTTTCCCGTGCTCACACACACACACACACACCTGCGGCCGGTGCTATACCATTGGTCTGGAAGGGGTTGGTGGCCATATCCGGGGCGGGGGCAACAAATGGGTTATTGGACTGGACGGCTGAAACAGGACATTACATTATGTTTTCATTACTTTTGAGGGTCACCCATTTCAGAAAACAAAGTACAGGTACGTGTAACACAATCCACTCACCTCCAAAGCCTTGCTGCACATGCATGCTGGGTAATACTGGCTGAGTCTGGGCAGGCGAGGTTCCCAACACAGCTCCAAACATATTCCTAGATTCACATAAATACATAACATGAATCAATTTGTTATCTCATTGAATCATAAAAAACAAGTTTTAGCGAGATCCAGAGGCAGTGTTAGTGTGCAAATCTAAAATGTATTTTTAGTGTCATGTTTTGAAGTGGTGTCTGTCTCTCACCCCTGGACACTGCTCCCTGTGGGGGCCGAGGAGCTCAGCTCGTTGTCCAGCTCAGCAAGGGCAGCGTAGCGGTCCTCTGCCGAGTTGCCCAGCTGGGACGGAGCCGGTACAGCACCGGCCACCGACGGCACTGGGACACCTCGCCCTACAGAGCGCGAGAGAGACACATACACAGGGGTCAGATATATACTCATTCATGCACATGGCAATGGACATGGACACTAACACCCAAAAATAACATAACATGTTGTCCACCCTGTTGGGCTTGGAACAGATATAATGTAAATGAGAGGGTTTGTATGAGAATGGGACCCAGGGGTACCTGATGCAAAGGACTGTGAGGGGGGTGAGGTGCTGAAATGTGAAGGTACTCCAGAGTTGCCAAACGCCTCAAAGTTGGCAAAGTCGGCATTTGAGTTAACCTGAGTCGCTGCAAACCACAGAGGAGGAAACACAAAACACTGACAATGTGAGGAATGAGGAAATCATAATGGTGTTATGGTACATGGGAGGAGTGGCAAATGACAATGATTTAACACAAACATATTATAATGATGTGTGCAGTCTTATTACACTACACTCTATAACTGCTAATTTCCAAGCCCTCAAGATTTGATTGTCTCATTGAAGACAAACAATTAGAATCTACTCAATATTGGGAAACTCCTGAACTGCCATTGAAGTCAAATTTTCACTTAGTCTCTCTTTTACATTATTGCACGACTAAATGAAAATTTGACTTAAACAGAAGTTAGTTTGAGTGAAGGCCATTTCCACTCATTACCTGACTGGCTGGGGAAATTTGCAAAGTTGGCAAAGTTGGAGTTGCTGGTAGCCTGAGAGGGCGGAGCAGCAAAGATGTCTCCACCCAGGTCAGAGAGGAGGTCAAACTTCTTCTCCTGAACTATAGGATAGGCCTGGGAGCGAACCACCACTGGCGACTGGCAGAGGGAGAGGGAAAGAGATGGAAGGGCATGAGGAATGATGGTATGCTTTAAAGAAAAAGAACTGGGGACATTTGGGGTTGCACCCATTGACTTATATAAATGATTAGAGGGTTTGAATTCAATCACTTTTTGACTGCATCCCTTTTGATTTAAACAAAACTTTCTATACATGTTTGCCCATGTAAAAGATAAACGGTTGAGATGTATATCATTTAAAAGCTTACAAACAGTGTTGACAAACTATTTCATAATTTCTTGAAAAAAAAGTTAATAGAAATTGTCATTTTTAAACCTTAAACATAAATTATCTAAAAACGCATAATGTTGTACTGTAGCTTGGACCCTATTTCACATCTGATGATGTGTTGTGCCCGCCATCGGTTGAAACATGCTCTTGAATACAGGGTGGCTGTCATTTCAATCATAGAAATAGAACTCATAGAATGGACCAATCCCTTCAGACCACCACAATTAAGCTGGTACAAGTTAAATTCTAAGTTGTCCGAATTTTTTTAAATCAGTACAGTATTTAGAGCTTTTTACCCATTTTTTCTTCTCTCCACACCTATTCCTACCTTACTTGGCCAATACAAATGTGCTGTAGGACGTATATATTGAATATATATTTTCACGAATATTTCTTTATGCAATTAATTCTTTACATTTGTATTATGTCTATTTATCAGCAAATATGTTTACAGCAAATAATTTGACAGCGCGCCTTGAGAGTCATTGTATATACGAATTTGATCTTAACCGACTTGCCTAGTTAAATAAAAGGTTAAATAAATAAAAAAAGAAGGTAAAACGTTCTGATTGCTATATAGTATTAGAAAGAGCATATTCTGCAGTTCTCCATTTCCAAATATCACTTTTCCCAAGAATAACTGCGCTGTCCATGCATTCATGAGCACTCGCTTGTCAGTATTGCTCAGGCTACTAAGCAAAGACTAGTAACATAATACACTTAAAATATGCTATTCTGTTTTCTTTCTAATGTTTCTTTTGACCTGCCAAAACAAAATTATAATGGATTTCTTTGTGATGGATTTAGCTCTTAAACTAAAGGTTTTTCATTTTTACTTACAGCCTAGAGAAACAGACTAATGAAAATGCTATTATGTTCATTGAGATAATCATCACTACAGACCCGGGTTCGATCCCGGGCTGTATCACAACCGGCCGTGATCGGGAGTCCAATAGGGCGGTGCACAAATTGTCCCAGCGTTGTCCGGGTTAGGGGAGGGTTTGGCCAGGGTAGGCAGTCATTGTAAATACGTTTTTGTTCTTAACTGACTTGCCTAGTTAAATAAAGGTTAAATAAATACAATAAAATAAATAAAACATTCAAGTCAACATTCTCTGAAGTGTGGACCTCCAACCATCTTTGTGGTACCATTTGAAAGTTGACATTTCCATTGTATTAATATTTTCGTACATTTATCAGCCAAAACATAACACCCACCCTGTATTCAAGAGCATGTTGTGTCTCAACAGATGGCAGGCACAACACAAAAACAACACAAAAAGATGTAAAATACAGTCTAAACTACAACATATGTGAAAATCTATTTTTTTTTTTTAAACGCATTTACACGTTTTTAGAAAATGTATGTAATAAAAAAATGGTTTGACAACGCTGTTTATAAACGTTCAAATGTTATCAATCTCAACAAATTATATTTCCCAGTGATGAAGACATGGATGTCTCATGGTTTGGTGGTGTATGCAAAAATGGGTCAACTTTGAGCACCATTATCTCTTGAATGTTTTGGCATTCAGGTCCAAAAAGTCACTTTGAGCACTTGTACAAATATCTATGGAAGGTTTCATTCAAATCAAAAGGGGTGCTGTCAAAAAGTGATTACGTTTAAAGTGATTGAATTTACCCTAGACAAAATCATGAAAAAAAATGTTGCATCAGCCTAAAATGGATTTCGCCATATGTTAGGAAATGACTCAAAAGCGCATCAGCCTGAAATGTATTACGCCATATGTTAGGAAAGAAGATGGGGGAAATACCTGACGCGTTGGGGGGGTCTTGTTGAGCTGCAGGGTTTTCAGGGGCTGGATCTCCGGGGTGCTGCCTGTGCTGCTAGCTGAGGAGCCCGACTTGGAGGCCTGGGCTGTGGCTACCGTCCTAGCCTGGTCTGGAGGGACGTACCTGTGTGAACACAACCATAAATAAAAATAGATCCATGGGTGGAATCGATGGGGAGTTCCCAAGGTGAAATAATTTTGACATGTAAAAATGGGCTGTTACTTGTTTTTTTTAAGGTGAATTCATAAGATTATACATTGAGAGTTCTGAGAGGGATTTCCCCTTAATACATCACAATAGAAACTGTCGGCTCTTCAAATCAAATCAAATTCTTCTGCTTTTGAAGATGTTCAGTTCACACAACGCAATAGAAGGCAAATGAGTGAAGCTCAGTGAACCACAAACAGATGAATGAACTGAAATGAAGCATCTCACCATCTCCTTTTCTCGTACTTTTCCTGGAGGAATTCTTTTACTTTCTGTGGTTCGTGGAAGTCTGGAACAACCAATGTCCTGTCGTCGTACAGCCCCAACCAGATGTGTTTACAAACCTAGAGGAGAGAAAGTGTTTGGGGAGAGGGCGTGGAGAGAGAGCGCGAGAGAGAAAAAGGAATGCCAATAATCTCCCTTGAGAGAAACAAAATAAACTTCAAATAAAGAAAGCAGACATGAGGAGGCAGACATGCACAAAGATACTAATCCAGTGTTTTTCCAATGCTGGTCCTGGGGACCCACAGGGTAAGCAGGCTTTTGTTCCAGCCCAATACTAACACATCTGAATCAACTAATCATCTATACCTTCAAATGAATCGGATTTGTTAGTGCTAGGCTGGAATAAAAGCCTGCACTCCCTGCAGATCCCCAGGACTAGGATTGAAGTACACATTTCTTAGTACATTACATTACTTAATGGCATTACCTCGTTGGTGTGTTTCTGTAGGAATTCAATTTCCTGTTGCGTGAAGGTGGTCATAGAGATGGACTTCACTCTGTGGGGGGGATTCAGCCCTCGTCTAGTTGGGAGTGGAGGGGTAACGATGGGGGGAATTGGTGAGTATGTATTCGGTGTCATTCAGTTTACAATGACCAGGCACAACATGACTGAACACTCACAGCTAAACTTTGCATTCACTGATATTCACTGTCAAAAGGGTCGTTCCATTTGATTTCAATCACTTTTTCACTGCACCCCTTTTGATTTGAACAAAACTTTCCATTCGTATTTTCCCATGGTAGAAGTGGTCAGAAAGTGACTATTTGAACCTGAATGCCAAAACATTTAGGAAATAGAGGTGCTCAAAGTTGACCCATTTTGCATCCATGTCCTTATCACTGGAAAAGATAAACGGTTGAGTTTCATATAATGTAAAAGCTTACAAACAGGGATGTCAAACTATGTATCCTTTAGCGGCAATTATCAAAAAACATGTCAACTCATTTTTGCATATGTTGTAGCTTAAACCATATTTTACATATCGGTTGAGACACAGCATACTGTTGAATACAGGGTGGGTGTCATTTCAATCTTAGAAATATAAATTAATACAATGGATTTATCCCTTCAGACCACTGCAAATTAGCTGGTACATCATTGAAATTGAAATGTTTACTTCCAATTACTACCACAAAGATGGCCGCCGGTACACCCACCGTCGAATGTCAACTTAAATAGGAACGTCTATTCTATTATCTATATTTCAATAGGTTTCCTATGGAAGATTGACAGTATAATTTAAAATTGATATTCCCATTCAAGTCAACATTCTCTGAGGTGTGGACCTCCATCTTTGTGCTACCATTTCAAAGATGAAGTTTCTATTTTATTCCCATTTTAGTACATTTATCAGGCAAACCATGCCACCCAAGAGCATGCTGCGTTTCAACCGATATCAGGCACAACAAACACTTCAGATGACGTAAAATAAGGTCTAAGCTACAACATGTGGGGGAAAAAATTATACCTGAGTTTACGCATTTAGATAATTGACCTTAAGGTTTAAAAAATGTTTATTGAAAATCATTTTTTAAAAGAAATTATAAAATAGTTTGACAACCCTGTTTGTGAGCTTTTAAATGATATCAAACTCAACCATTTATATTTTCCAGTGATGAAGACATGGATATCTAATGGTAGGGTGGGGTATGCAAAATTGGTCGCATTTGGGCACCTCTATCTCCTACATGTTTTGGCATTCATGTCCAAAACAGGTCAAAAAGTGACTGAAATCAGATGGAACTTCCCAAAAGTGAAAACTATCAGTGAAAGTCATTATATGACTCATATAAGGCTATGCATTCATGTGCCTAGCCTTCACATATGACGTGAGGTGATCACTTGTAGTATCCGTTTTGGTTTTGTCAGTAGTCCCTTCCTATTGTGGTCTCTGAACCATATAATTTGCATTACTTGACCTACTGCCCCATTTCATGTATTCTACAAGACCGTGTATAGCAACTTCCTGATACACTTCTTCTATCTCAGGGATGACAAACTCCAGCCCTTGAGGTCCTGATTTGTGTCACTTTTCCCCAGCCCTATAACTAACACACCAGATTAAACTAATTGCATTCTAAACTGAAGACCTTGATTAGTTGATTATTGGAGTCAGGTGTTTTATCAGGAGCTAGGGCAAGAGTGTGTCACCAATCAAGCCCCCGAGGACTGCCCATCCCTGCTCTATCTATACACCTATAGCCGTGAGCAACGGCTGTCCCAAACTACGTCTACCGTATAGACAACTTGATTAGAAATGAGGTTCGCCGGTGCGGGTGACGCGCTGTTTTGACACACTGGGCAAATATTTGCCTTTTATCAGTACTTTCGGCACAAACAATATTTTAGTTAGTTGCCAAACTAGGTATTGAACTGCATAGTGACCTTTTAAAGATTGGGAATTGAGACCCCTTACAACAAAGCATGGGCTTGCGACCCAGCCCAACCAATGGCCTCGAGCTAACGTTGGATAGCATTACCTGCTGTGTTGGGGACCTTGCTAACGTTAGTTAACCAATACACCATAAAAAACGACATGTTGCTTTAAAAACAATGCCACATAAAAACACTATAGAATCAACCCAGTACTTACAAGATGCCAGAACAGGTGGTACAGACGAAGGAACCCACTGTCATGTTGGCATAAGTCGGCCCGCGCTGGTTGCAATCAAAGCACTTCCTATTCGGGGGCTGTCTAGTCATTTCCCGAAGCATCTTGAGATGCGTCTCCTCTTGTTTTCGCTTCGCACTCGTCGCCATGGTTGAGAAAAGGGGCTACTAACGGTGGGAGAAGTTTATCGAGGCCTAGGGAGGGGATATATTCGGGGAGACTTGCCTCGCCGGCGATTGTTCAGACACCTTGCTGAGAGGTCTAGTGGGACGGACACGTCTCTTCTTCGTTGGCATACAGGAGGTGTACTGAACAGCTAACCGTAGCGTGACTGACACCTACTGGTGGTAAGATCTGGTGGGCAGCAATGACCATTCGACAACATTTTACGTTGATGTTTAATAGTAAATACAATCTTTACCATCATACTGACATATTGTGTAAAAACAACACTGATTCAAGAGAATATCATATTTTGGAGTTTTGGTCTCTACTTTGACATGATCATCATGATAAGAAAGTCATTTGCCTCAAATTTGGCACTGTTGAGGGTAGCAGGTGTCCACCAAATAAGCCACGAGCCCATCTGACCTCCCTCCATAGAAATCAAATCGGCTCCTGTTTTGGCTGAGGGAACAAGCAAGCCAAGGCCGTACAGACAGTGGTTGCACTGCCTCTGCTCATCCAGTTTACTTGCTCACTAGGAGTTGGCCTGGGTCATGTTCATTAGGGCACAACGTTTTAAAACGGGAAACGAATATGAGCATCACTTATTGGACATGCCCAGGTAGTCTGTCCCTGTTTCAGGGTGTTTCTTCTATTTGGTGCCTAATGAACATTACCCTGAGGTAGTCGCTGTCAAAAAATCTTTATATAATAAGAATTGGTTTATGCTCAATCGTTATGTAGTTAAAGAAATGTATAGATCAGATGATCTGCACAGCTCCTTTCTCAGGTAGACCCTCATGAACAAGCACATCCTTTTAACTGTCAGACAGCTGGTTGGTAAGGATGCATTTGCAGTACCGCCAGACTCTGTCGGAGGGAAGTATCACTTGGGCATCGCTCTCTTTCCTTTGGTGCCGATGGAATCCCCAGATTCAGATGGCTACAAGTGGAGATAAGGCTGGTATTTCAGACACAACACAATAACTGAAAACATACCAGAAATACACAGGCTAATTTAGGTGCCACATCACTTTCAGTTCAGTCTGGATTCCAGCCTGTTTCTGCTTTAGCCAACCTGTAATCATGAAATGTTATATTGCCAAACGAGGCAAGGCAACAATGTGACATTGTTGAATGCAGGAACAGTTAGCGAACCAGAGGGGTGTACTACGAAGCTGGACAGAGGAGTTAATAATATAATAATAATAATAATAATAATAATAATAATAATAATAATAGTTAGCGCGCTAACTTTAGTCAATTCTCTTGAAGGTGGCTCACCTTTTAGCTAAGTACATTTCTATGGCACTGAACGCTTCATCTCTAACCTGCTCCGGGGCAGGGTAACTCCACTTTATCCTGAACTAAGTGTTTGAGCCGAAAGTTGAGGACCAATCAAATTAGATTCCCTCACTCTCACAAAGAGTGCATCATCATCCCTTTTCCGGACCATATTTGAGGAAGACTGATTAAATATATTTTTAAGAAAAATGTATTTTGTGTAGTAATATTCAAATATATATCACACTACACATTTAGTAAAGACATGATGCATTTGAAAGTTGTTGGGGAAAAGGGGCTTGTGCATTGATAAGCACACCAAAGACGATATTAATGATATGATTAATACAAGGGAAATGGCACTTCTAATAGCCTATTTCAAGATAACCTTTCTTTCATTTCCACAACATTTTTAATGTGGCACTGACTCGCCCATGGATTGCTGTTTCAGCATTGTCTCAATGAAGAGTTCGGCTTTTGACTTGTCACGTTCGACGCGAACACGCAGTTACAAGCTGGCTCGAGTTAACGGCGGCTGCATGATCAATATCCACCTTCGTAACATGTATGAAGCCTGAGCTTGAATTTGAAGCCAACTGAAGCTGGCTAGCTTTAGAAAATCCTGAAAAGATCTAGCTAGTGTCTTAGTATACCCCTCAGGCTACTACTCCCAGTTCAGCAGTACAGGGTCGTGTTCAGTAGGACATTTAGCAACAGAAGGAAAATCTGTGCTCTTATTGGACAATTAAGTTCAGTTAGTACATTCACTGTTTCAAAATGTTTTTTAACACTTTTCAACTGTATCAAGAATGTTGATCCTTAGACATCTCGATTGACTGTCAATATAACCTGATAAATGAAAGGTGATCAATCAATAAAGGCATACCTACATGGAGGATGAGGTTATAAAGAAATGTGAAAATTGCTGTACAATTTCAACTGAATTGTAAAACTAAAGTTAACGTTATCTGTATTGGATATAAAGGGTTGAAACAGTATGGGGATCTCCAAAGCCATAAATACTGTAGATATGAAGCATTTGGCATCAATTTTCAGGGATGTAGCTCAGTTGTAGAACATGGCGTTTGCAACGCCAGGGTTGTGGGTTCGATTCCCACGGGGGGCCAGTATGAAAAATATAAAAATAATGTATGCACTAACTGTAAGTCGCTCTGGATAAGAGCATCTGCTAAATGACTAAAATGTAAATGTAAATGTAATGAACTAGTTAATAAAGTCTGATATATAACCATCTCTATACCAGGCCTTAACATGAGATATAGAGTTCAGCAGGTACTCCCACCATAAAAAGATGAGGTGTCATAAAAGTGTCATAGTGGGGTTATATCACCTGTTGCCTTTTCCGTGTAACCCGGAAGAAGTCCTCCATGCGAGTTTGTCGGCTCCGTCCTGCTGCCTTGTCCTCCTCCCTCTCCTTCCTCAGGCGCTCACGCTTCTCACTGAACTTCTGCATTCGACCTCGTACTCTTTGCTCCCTCCATATCACACACACATATGGAATAATTCAGTTTTAGATTACTGGGCAAGGACATAAAACAAGCATGCACTGCAGATCCAGAGGATTCGATTTGTGTACACCAGGGGTCGTATGTATCAAGCGTCTCAGTTGTACCTTTTAGAACACAATTAATACGATTACATGGACAGGGGGAACCTGATCCTAGATCAGCACTCTTACTCTGAGATGCTTGATACATATGGCCCCTGGTCTAATTCCAAAGGGGGTCGGTCATACGGGACCAGAACAGTACTTGACGTGTTTCTCGTGGCACAGAAAGTGGACCAGGGCCTCCTCATCCGGCTCAGTCCAGACCAGGTCCGAGGGCTTGGTCAGGGGGGCATCCAGAAACAGCTTGCGGGCATCCTGGTACTGCCAGCGCAGTGGGACAGGGTGGGTCTGAAGGAGGAGGGAGAAAAGGGGTTGGGGTGTTAGTCTAATTACATGGACAGGAACATAGCATAGAAGGTGAGGTCTGAGAGGAACAATGAAATAATCATTAGTTCATATATGTTAATTGTATGTGGAGTGGTAACAAATGACATAGATGACATTTCATATTTTCTTGGTTTACTAGTATGTTTAACTCAGACTCATAGATAAGACTTCAGCAAACTCATTGGCACCAAAATCTCCAAGGCAATTGCATTATAGTAATCTGAACAGTTTTCAGGGAGGGATCATGTACCTTTCTGTTGATGTTCAGCACCACATTCTCTATGGTCCGGTGCTGCTGGATCAGAGTCAGAGCTCTCTTAGGTCCAAGGCCTGTGATTTTGTCACAGTAGTCACAGCCCAACAAGATACACAGGTCCACAAACTGACATAAATTAGGAGGAAAGAGAAGGGGTGTTAGCCTAAGAGATTAAATATCACTGAATATAGAGTATGTGAGCATTTTGAGAGGTGCAACAGTTGAGAGATTATACTTGAGAGAAAAGTACATGATGTTTATGCCTTAGAATGTGGTATGCTTGTACACATGACGCCTATGAACATGTAATGAAGGCCTATGCCGCATTCATTACAAATGCTTTGGGTGGAGGAGGTGTCTTACCTCTTCATGTGTCATCTTCAAAATCTCTAGCAGCTTGGGTAGAGAATATTCAATGACTTCGCTGTGAGGAGAGGAATAATTAGATTTAGAGACCCAGAGAACTGGCCATCAGCCATTTAAATAACTCAATCAATGAATGTTTTAGATTTATTTTTACTAATACTTTGCCAGACAGTGCTTAGAAGTAACCCTGGCTTAAATCTTTTTCTATTGGGGAAACCACAGCAGTATAGACAAACCCGGACTAGACGTAACATACATGTAGTAAACGTAAATCCGGGACACTCCAATTAGTATGATATGTTACGTTTCATATGGTATTTATTCATTTGTGGATGTCCATTATCCATTTCGTATGATATGTAACAAATTAAAATCTGTATGATATGTTACGAATTGCAATTTGTACAATATGATACGAATCACAATTCGTACAATATGGTACGAATTTTCAAAAACATATGATATATGTTACGAATTCTAATTTATTGTGGCTAACATTAGCTGGGTGGCTAACGTTAGCTAACCTAGGAGTTAGGGATTAAGGTTAGGGTTAAGGTTAAGCATGAAACACACGACAATCTCTCTGCCGATAGACTGCTAATATGTACTTATCACAGTGGGAGGGTGTTCCTTCTCTTGCTAGAACAAAAGCGGTACCAGCTGCGTGCAGACCGGTAGCGACGAACCTACCGATTCTACTTGTAGAATCGCAATGCTCGTCAGTGGCCAACAAAATCAGAGAGCACGAACCCCCACGTGGGGGAGTCAACAAAAAAAGGGTGAAAAGTGGGCATTTTCTCCATCCACGGATGAGCCAGTCACACTTCATATGCAATGTCGGCTATTGGATAGTAGCTAGCTAAGTGCACAGATGCAATGCACACAACACTAAATACTTCCTCCAAGCTAGCTAACCACTGTAGCTAGTATTGGCATTATAATTAAATCACAATGGAGTCGCTAGTTTCCATGAAACAGCTGCCTGTGTTAGCTGCCGAGTTAGTGCAGTGTCCTTAGCTAGCTATGTTGTGCTAGCTAGCAAATATACTAATGCTAGTTAGCTAGCTAAACATTTGGCTATGGGCTGGCACTGGCAGTATGGGATTATAGAGAGTGAATTAAATTCTTTCTTCATCATCTTGCTATGTAGTTATCTAGCTGTGGCCATCTGGCTAGTATCAACAAGGGCTTTCTACAAAATAGCAACATTAGCGCAACATTTGCCAGAGTGTCCATGTCAAATCAAATCAAAATCACATTTTATTTGTCACATGCGCTGAATACAACAGGTGTAGACCTTACAGTGAAATGCTTACTTACAAGCCCTTAACCAACAATGCAGTTTTAAGAAAAATAAGTGTTAAGAAATCATTTACTAAAATAAACAGAAGTAAAAAATAGATGAGTAAAAAATAAAAAATAATAATTAAAGAGTAACAATAAAATAACAGTAGCGAGGCTATATACAGGGGGTACCGGTACAGAGTCAATGGGCGGGGGCAAAGGTTAGTCGAGATAATTGAGGTAATATGTACATGTAGGTAGAGGTAAAGTGACTATGCATGGATAATAAACAGAGAGTAGCAGCAGTGTTAAATTGGGGGGGGGGGGGGGGGGGGGACAATGCAAATAGTCCGGGTAGCCATTTGATTAGCTGTTCAGGAGTCTTATGGCTTGGGGGTAGAAGCTGTAAAGAACTTGGCGCTCCGGTACCGCTTGCCGTGTGGTAGCAGAGAGAACAGTCTAGGGTGGCTGGAGTCTTTGGAAATGTTTAGGGCCTTCCTCTGACATCGCCTGGTATAGAGGTCCTGGATGGCAGGAAGCTTGGCCCAAGTGTGTACTAGGCCGTATGCAATACCCTATGTAGTGCCTTGCTGTCGGAGGCCGAGCAGTTGCCATACCAGGCGGTGATGCAACCATTCTTTTACTTTTAGAGTTGTGTGTATTGTTGTGAATTGTTAGATACTACTGCACTGTTGGAGTTAGGAACACAAACATTTCACTACACCCGCAATAACATCTGCTAAATATGTGTATGCGATTATATTTGATAGCTTGGACTCTAGAAGACTCCATAAGACTCCATAAGCAATACGCACAGATATGCATAGCCAAACAACGCTACTGCCACCTTCTGGTTTGGAGTATTTTAACAAGGCTTTTGTGGCTGATGACTTCCAAGGTCTTTGCTGTGTGAACAAAAAAGACATTGACTGCCACTCTGTTCAGTGGTGCTAAGTACTGTCGGCAGGCAAACGTTTGACTATCCTGCTGGTGTCTGAGCTTTTAGTTAAGCTTAGGGTTAAGGTTAGGAGTGAGGTTAGGGTTAGGGGAAGGGTTAGCAAACATGCTAAATAGTTGCAAAGTAGCTAAAAAGTAGTAAGTAGTTGCAATGTTGCTAATTAGCTAAAATGTGATGAGATTAGAACATGCAACCTTTGAGTTGCTGGACGTTTGCTTTATTTGGGTTGCTAGGCGTTCGCGTTATACACCCACCCATCCACCCCGACCAAACCCTTGTCTTATGTAACCATACCAAATGTAACATATCATATTCATTTGAGTGTCCCGGATTTACATTTACTATATTACGTCTAGTCTATATGGCCAGGCTGTATAGACATGGTTATGGACTCAAAGGTGCACCCTCACCTGTCTTTCTTGGCGTTGAGCTGGCGGATCAGGATGTTGCCACCAAAGGGCAGAGTGTCCATGTCTTCTGATGCTACCGCGTCTACTGTGCCCTGTTGCACCAGGTGGGCACATAGTGCCTCGCCATCTCCTGGAGCCTGGAGAGAGAGAGAGAGAGCGGAAGAAGAGGGTTCATATGTTATGGTTTCTGGTGGTTGGTGTGTGTTCAAGACAACTTTGTATAATTAGGGTAAATGTTCAGGGTTAGCATGCTACATAGTGGATTGGCACACTGACCTGGATGATGGGCACACCCATAAGCTTCAGAAGGTGGAGACAGTCCCGTGTCTGAGGGGACACTACAGGTGCACATAGAGAGGTCAAAGGTCAAATACAGGAAGATGGAAAACTGATATGCGCTGTGATTGAATTCCAATGTTTCTCTTACTTGCTCCTGAATGACTGGGGGAGCTCCAGCCTGCAGCCTGTGCCCTCTTCTCCAACTGGAAGAAACAGGGAATACAATTAAATTAAACCGTAATGACATGGGCTGTGTCGGAAATTATACCCTATCCCTATTTAGTGTAGTGCACTACTTGTGAGGGTGTCATTTTGTGAGGTACAGTGCCTTCAGAAAGTATTCATAGCCCTTGACTTATTCCACATTTTGTTGTGTCACAGCTAGGGCTGTGGCGGTCACGAAATTTCGTCAGCCGGTGACTGTCAAGCAAATCACTATCGGTCTCACGGTAATTGACCGTTAATTAACATAAACACATTTAGCATCTCCTGGCTTCCACACATAGCCTACAAGCCACTGATGCAGACCTTTGGAACATCTACATTTAAAAAAGTCTAATAAATCCATATAATATAGCCTACACCTTCACAATAAATTCATTATTTATTTTAGACATGTCTAAAGAAGCATGATATGAAGAAAATGTAGTCTGAGTTGTCCTTATGTTAGGCCCTGATCTGGCTATGCCAAATGGCTGTGGGCTACACTAGTTAATTTAGCAGACAAGATTTGCTTAGAATTCCGTGGCATTATTTTATAGTATGAAGAAAACAATTGAACAAAGCTGAATAAAATAGAAAGGATATTTTCTCCAAACGATTTGAGGGAGTTCGCACATGTGTTGAGCGGTTAACAAAGACATTGGTACTCCTACATGCTTAATTTAGAGTTATTAATGTAACTTTAGTTGTTCAACAAACGTTGGGCTATTTGTTTAGATTTTGAATACATTGTAAGGCTGCATGATGCGACTAATGATGATTTAAGTATTCACACCCCTGAGTCAACACTCTGTATTTGTTTTGTTTTTTTAATTTTTTAATTTCACCTTTATTTAACCAGGTAAGCCAGTTGAGAACAAGTTCTCATTTACAACTGCGACCTGGCCAAGATAAAGCAAAGCAGTGCGATAAAAACAACACAGAGTTACATATGGGGTAAAAAAAACATAAAGTCAAAAATACAACAGGAAATATATATACAGTGGTGCAAATGTAGCAAGTTATGGAGGTAAGGCAATAAATAGGCTATAGTGCAAAATAATTACAATAGTATTAACACTGGAATGCTAGATGTGCAAGAGATTATGTGCAAATAGAGATACTGGGGTGCAAAAGAGCAAAATAAATAACAATATAGGGATGAGGTAGTTGGGTGGGCTAATTTCAGATGGGCTGTGTACAGGTGCAGTGATCGGTAAGGTGCTCTGACAACTGATGCTTAAAGTTAGTGAGGGAGATAAGAGTCTCCAGCTTCAGAGATTTTTGCAATTCGTTCCAGTCATTGGCAGCAGAGAACTGGAAGGAATGGCGGCCAAAGGAGGTGTTGGCTTTGGGAATGACCAGTGAGATATACCTGCTGGAGCGCAGACTACGGGTGGGTGCTGCTATGGTGACCAATGAGCTAAGATAAGGCGGGGATTTGCCTAGCAGTGATTTATAGATGGCCTGGAGCCAGTGGGTTTGACGACGAACATGTAGTGAGGACCAGCCAACAAGAGCGTACAGGTCACAGTGGTGGGTAGTGTATGGGGCTTTGGAGACAAAACGGATGGCACTGTGATAGACTACATCCAGTTTGCTGAGTAGAGTGTTGGAGGCTATTTTGTAAATGACATCGCCGAAGTCAAGGATCGGTAGGATAGTCAGTTTTACGAGGGCATGTTTGGCAGCATGAGTGAAGGAGGCTTTTTTGCGAAATAGGAAGCCGATTCTAGATTTAACTTTGGATTGGAGATTCTTAATGTGAGTCTGGAAGGAGACTTTACAGTCTAACCAGACACCTAGGTATTTGTAGTTGTCCACATACTCTAGGTCAGACCCGTCGAGAGTGGTGATTCTAGTCGGGTGGGCGGGTGCCAGCAGCGTTCGATTGAAAAGCATGCATTTAGTTTTACTAGTGTTTAAGAGCAGTTGGAGGCTACTGAAGGAGTGTTGTATGGCATTGAAGCTCGTTTGGAGGTAGAAGAGATTACAACTGTAAGTCTTTCTGGGTAAGTCTCAGAGCCTTCCACACTTGAATTGTGCAACATTTACTATTATTATTTTCAAAATTCTTCAAGCTCTGTCAAATTGGTTGTTAATTATTGCTAGACAACCATTTTCAGGTCTTGCCATAGATTTTCAAGTATATTTAAGTCAAAACTGTAACTTGGCCACTCAGGAACATTAACGGTCTTCTTGGTAAGCAGCTCCAGTGTAGATTTGGCCTGGTGTTGTAGGTTATTGGCCTGCTGAAAGGTGAATTAATCTCCCAGTGTCTGGTGGAAAGCCGACTGAACCAGGTTTTCCTCTAGGATGTTGCCTGTGCTTAGCTCCATTCCGTTTCTTTTTTATCCTGAAAAACTCCCCATTCCTTAACGATTACAAGCATACCCATAACATGATGCAGCCACCACTATGCTTGAACATTTGGAGAGTGCTACTCAGTAATGTGCTGTATTGGATTTGCCCCAAACATAACACTTTGTATTCGGGACAAAAAGTGAATTGCTTTGCCACATTTTTACTCCTGAACTTATTTAGGCTTGTCATAACAAAGGGGTTGAATACTTGACTCAAGACATTTCAGCTTTTCATTTTTTATTAATTTGAAACAATTAAAAAATATATAATTCCACTTTGACATTATGGGGTATTGTGTGTAGGCCAGTGACCAAAAAAACAAAATTTGATCCATTTTGAATTCAGGCTCTAACAACAAAATGTGGAAAAAGTAATGGGGTGTGAATACTTTCTGAAGGCACTGTAGTTAGCTATGGTCTTGGCTGTGCCACTCACCACAGCCCTTTTCTCCCCAGGAGGCTTCCCATCGAACACAAACACTGGCTTGATGTCATGCTCCAGGAAGGTTAGTGTGCGAAAGAACAAACCTGTCAAGGGACTAGAGTGAAAGGATGGGAACATGGGTTAGAAACAGAAACAGGGCCCTGAATTCAGCGTTAGTTTACACAGGTCTACCACAGAAACACATCCCAATAGTCTAAAGTGACTCCCTCTCTTCATCTAGGCTAACGTTACATACTTCATCTGCACTGGCTGGAAAGAACTGGACAGATGAAAGTAAATAACTGGTAGACATTCGCCATATGCTTTCCCCTGTCCTGTGATTTCAGATCAGTGCAGATGAAGGAGAGGAAGAAGCCACATTTGAGGTGCTGTCAACAATGCCAACGGTTGGGTAAGCTTTAGAAGTTAGAAATGACAGCTCACCCCAGTAACTGAAGATTGGGTACTGCAGTGCGGAACTGGTTCAGAACAATGGAGGTGTCCAACGCAATGACCTTTCCTAAAATGTTGAGACAAAACAAATGTACGGTGTATTGTATTAGTAAAACCTTTGAGTGAACTCAATGAGCAGGAAACCTCCAGATCATACAACATCCAACTGGGCCCATATCTAGTACTGGATAAAACTTGGCCAAGCTAGTTTGCTAACGTGAATAATGCCTGGCCTGTCTGGTAGCTTCAATGTTGGGGATAAGTCTAGTCAATTATTGGGTGGGGCACACTGATGCTCCATAACATTATACATGCTAGGATGAGATAACTAGCATATGAAGGAGGATACTAGTTGTCCCGAACTGCATGCTAGCTAGCTAACGTTAGCCTTTTGGCTAACACAGCTAACGTTAGTAAAAGTAGCTAAGCATGCAAACTTACCTGTGTAGTCGCCGATCTCTTTGTAAGAAATAGCACCAGGTGCGTCGCTGCGAATCAAATCTGCAAGTTTTGTAATACCCATTGTGCTTGTCTGACTGTTCGTTATAAAGCCAACAACTTGGATACACCGTTTTGGTGATGCTGTGTACCCGGAAACCTGTGTTGTTGTTTGTACACGAATCTACCAATAGGGGCAGCAGGGATCAAACAAAGGTAGAGAGCACAGTAAGAGATTATACTTTCAGCCACCCATAATCGATTACAGTAAACTATTTACAAACAATCCATTGATATACACTGAAGAAAAATATAAACGCAACATGTAAAGTGTTGGTCCCATGTTTCATGAGCTGAAATAAAAGATCCCAGAAATGTTCCATATGCACAAAAAGCTTATTTCTCTCAAATGTTGTGCCCAAATTTGTTTACATCCCTGTTAGTGAGCATTTCTCCTTTGCCAAGATAATCCATCCACCTGACAGGTGTGGCATATCAAGAAGCTGATCAAACAGCATGATCATTACACAGGTGCACCTTGTGCTGGAGACAATTAAAGGCCACTCTAAAATGTGAAGTTGTGTCACACAACACAATGCCACAAATGTCTCATGTTTTGAGAGGGCGTGCAATTGGCATGCTGACTGCAGAAATGTCCACCAGAGCTGTTGCCAGAGAATTAAAAATTAATTTCTCTACCATAAGCCGTCTCCAATGTCGTTTTAGAGAATTTGACAGTACGTCCAACCGTCCTCACAACCGCGGACCACGGTATGGCGTAGTGTGGGTGAGCGGTTTGCTGATATCAACGTTGTGAACAGAGTGCCCCATGGTGGCAGTGGGGTTATGGTATGGGCAGGCCTAAGCTACGGACAACGAACACAATTGCATTTTATCGATGGCAATTTGAATGCACAGAAATACCGTGACGAGTTCCTGAGGCCCATTGTGAGGCAATAAAAAAAAAAAGATATCTGTGACCAACAGATGCATATCTGTGTTCACGGTCATGTGAAATTCATAGATTAGGGCCTAATTAATTTATTTCAATTGACTGATTTCCTCATATGAACTGTAACTCAGTAAAATCTTTGAAATTGTTGCATGTTGCGTTTATATTTTTGTTCAGTATGTATTTGTGCATTTATTTATTTAGCAATCTATATATTTTCTTGTAATATATCAATGGATTGTTTGTAAATATTTTACTGTAATAAATTATGGGTGGCTGAAAAGTAAGATAATCTGTAACTGATCTGATTTACTGTGCTCTGTCCCTGTTTGATTGCTAAATAAATAAATGCACAAATACATTTTCAACTAAGAAAATACATAGAAAATCAATAAATTGATACATCTTCAACTAATGAAAATGTAGCCTGTACAATATTAGAAAAGTACATTTCCTGAAGAAAACTTGGTGTGCATGCTAGCTTGTGAAGGATCGATTATTTGATAGGATATTATAGCCTGAACATGTGAACGTTGGTTTGGTGTCTCTAGCTTGAATGGTTCAAGACTTATTGTTGGTGGGGGGTTTTATGCAAATGATTGCACATTTACAGTATATAGTTATATTCTAACTTTAGCCAGCTAACTAAGATTGAGAGAACTAGTGGATATATGGAGGCTTAAATATCCTGACCTTGTGAGATATACATGGCGGAGACTCAATCAAGTTAATCATCTTGACTTCTTTCTTATGTCATTCTCGTTGGCACCAAAAGTTTAAAAAGTGTTGATAGGGGACAGAATGCGGTCAGACCATCAGATAATTGGCATATACATTACTCTTACTGAATTTCCACCTGCGGCGAGGATATTTGGAAATTTAATCAAAGCCTATTGGATGATACCTTGTTTTTAACTAGGACAGAGGAATTTATAACTGAATGTTTCCGACATAACATACAGTGGGGAGAACAAGTATTTGATACACTGCCGATTTTGCAGGTTTTCCTACTTACAAAGCATGTAGAGGTCTGTAATTTTTATCATAGGTACACTTCAACTGTGAGAGAAGGAATCTAAAACAAAAATCCAGAAAATCACATTGTATTATTTTTAAGTAATTAATTTGCATTTTATTGCATGACATAAGTATTTGATCACCTACCAACCAGTAAGAATTCCGGCTCTCACAGACCTGTTAGTTTTTCTTTAAGAAGCCCTCCTGTTCTCCACTCATTACCTGTATTAACTGCACCTGTTTGAACTCGTTACCTGTTGTCTAGGAGAATCCAAGATGGCGTAGTAGTGCAGTTGTGTTTTTATCGTATGTCTGTAAATAGCCTGTAAATACCCTATTTTTCTGTATTTTTCGTACATATTTCCATATCAGACTTTTCATCCTTCTACAAAATATACTTTCCTGCAACCCGCCTCACTCAATGTGGAACGGATTCTATTATTGACTTACCTTTATCTAGAATCTAGAATCTCCAGTTGAAACTAGCTAGCCAGCTAGCCAGCTAACTAGCTACTTGCTATTAGCCTCAGCTAGCGGTATTTCACCCAGAACATTGGATTTTTTCTGCGGGATTAATTTTAATCACTGGACATTAATCACCGGATATTCGGCCAGTCTGCACAGCGCGTTATCGACCCAGAACATATCAGTTTTTCCGCCGGAATCACTGAATCACTGGACCTTTAACTCCGGATTCATCGCTATCAGCTAGCTACAACAAAACGGACGCTGTGGTCTGGCTAATCATCCTGAGCTAGGCCCATCTCCCGGCTATCTACCTCTCTGTCAACCGGACGGGACCACCTAGTGTTGACACGGAGCCCCGCCGATCCTACACGACTGGTCTGCCGACGAAATCGTCTGATGTGGTTACGACGTTAACCACGAAGATTCCATCCATCTGCTAGCCCCGGCCCGCTAGCACACGCTAGCCGTGGCCTCTTACTCACTAGTTTACCACCGGACCTTATGATAACTCAGCTATACAGCTGATGTCTGCTGGACTGTTCCTTTTTACGGTACTACATCCTGTTTATGTTTAGCCTCAGCCCAAACATGGTTAGTTTATTGTTGTTTCGGTTATTTCTAATTTTACTATATCACTGTAGACCCCCCAGCCTAGCTAAACCTGCCTTAGATAGCTCCTTTGCCCCTCCCCCTATACACGCGGAGACCGACTCAATTGATGCCTCCAGCGATGCTATCTCTTTCATTGTTACCCAACGCTTAGGTTTACCTCCACTTTACTCATATCCTTCCATATCCTTGTCTGTACATAATGCCCTGAATCTTTTCTATAACACCCGGAAATCTGCCCCCTTTATTCTATGTACCCAACGCACTAGAAGACCAGTTCTTAAAGCCTTTAGCCGTATCCTTATTCTAGTCCTCCTCTGTTCCTCTGGTGATGTAGAGGCTAACCCAGGCCCTGCAGCCCTCAGTATCACTCCTACTCCCCAGGCGCTATCATTTGATGACTTCTGTAATCGCAAAAGTATTGGTTTCTTGCACATAAATATCAGAAGTCTACTTCCTAAGTTTGAGTTATTCACTGCGTTAGCACACTCTGCCAACCCTGATGTTCTAGCAGTGTCTGAATCCTGGCTCAGGAAGGCCACCAAAAATTCTGAAATTTCCATCCCCAACTATAACATTTTCCATCTAGATAGAACTGCCAAAGGGGGTGGAGTTGCAATCTACTGTAGAGATAGCCTGCAGAGCTCTATCATACTATCCAGGTCTGTGCCCAAACAGTTTGAGCTTCTACTTCTAAAAATCCACCTTTCCAGAAATAAGTCTCTCACTGTTGCCGCTTGCTACAGACCCCCCTCAGCCCCCAGCTGTGCCCTGGACACCATATGTGAATTGATTGCCCCCCATTTATCCTCAGAGTTTGTACTGCTTGGTGACCTAAATTGGGATATGCTTAATACCCCAGCCATCCTACAATCCAAGCTAGATGCCCTCAACCTCACGCAAATTATCAACGAACCTACCAGGTACAACCCTAAATCCGTAAACATGGGTACCCTCATAGATATCATCCTGACTAACATACCCTCTAAATACACCTCAGCTGTCTTCAACCAGGATCTCAGCGATCACTGCCTTTTTGCCTGCATCCGTAACGGGTCCGCGGTCAAACGACCACCCCTCATCACTGTCAAACGCTCCCTAAAACACTTTAGCGAGCATGCCTTCCTAATTGACCTGGCCCAGGTATCCTGGATGGATATAGATCTCATTCCGTCAGTAGAGGATGCCTGGTTGTTCCTTAAAAGTAATTTCCTCTCAATCTTAAATAAACATGCCCCATTCAAAAAATACAGAACTAAGAACCGATATAGCCCCTGGTTCTCCTCAGACTTGACTGCCCTTGACCAGCACAAAAACATCCTGTGGCGTACAGCATTAGCATCAAATAGCCCCCGCGATATGCAACTTTTCAGGGAAGTTAGGAACCAATATACACAAGCAGTCAGGAAAGCAAAGGCTAACTTTTTCAAACAGAAATTTGCATCCTGTAGCACTAACTCCAAAAAGTTTTGGGACACTGTAAAGTCCATGGAGAATAAGAGCACTTCCTCCCAGCTGCCCACTGCACTGAGGCTAGGAAACACTATCACCACCGATAAATCTACAATAATCGAGAATTTCAACAAGCATTTTGCTACAGCTGGCCATGCTTTCCATCTGGCTACCACTAACCCGGCCACCAACTCTGCACCCTCTGCTGCAACTTGCCCATGCCCCCCCCGCTTCTCCTTCACACAAATTCAGACAGCTGATGTTTTGAAAGCGCTGCAAAATATGGACCCCTACAAATCAGCTGGGCTAGACAATCTGGACCCTTTCTTTCTAAAACTAGCCGCCGAAATTGTCGCTACCCCTATTACTAGTCTGTTCAACCTCTCTTTCATAACATCTGAGATCCCCAGAGATTGGAAATGTCGTATCGAGTGAGTGGTGGCAATTATTGCTGATAAACAAAGGAGTCCGCTCATACTGAATCCTTGATCATAAGTTTATTCAGATCCCAAGCTTCAGCATAAGTGACAGGTGACATGACACCCGGAGAGCGACGCCTCAGAATGGCCGCTCTGCCTCTCTTCTTCGTTTACCCCCTATTTAAAAACAATGCAAAAAGATGCTCCCTCTTCTGGCCAATCACCAGTCTCCCCTGTCTACAACACACTTCCTG